TTCCGCGACTGAAGTTCAGCCCAGCCCGGGGCTGCCATGGACGAATGCAGATTAAAAAATGCATTACTTACTGGATATGGTACGGGCTGGTTTTTTTTTTATCTTGCGAATTACGATTATTACTTTATGGATTATACCAACTTTAATCCGCGAGTGTTTCGTGGGTAATTTTAAATATTGCAATTTTGCGAAATATTTTCTGCTTGGAGGCCAGTCTCTCTTTGATGGTAGGAAATTAATTTTATTTATATATATATATATATATATATATATATATGACGTAACGAAATGACTGCGAATTCCTTGAAAATTTAGCTTTTGCCTGTACGTTTCGCCTGCCGAGTAATCCGGTTTGTCTTTCATAAAGCTAAAGTATTTCGCAATCTGGCCGACGACCTCGGAGCATCAGGATGTACGTGACTTTAGCGAAGTGCAATAGGACGAGCTAAAGAAAGCTCTTTGAGGTGGGCAATTGAAAAGCTGTGTAAGGTCAGGTTGAGTGAGGGAATCTAGTCCAGCCTTCGAAAGGATGAAAGGAAGGGGGGGAGAGGGGGGGGGGGCCAGGTAGTGAAAAGTAATCAGAACCTTCGTCGAGACACGTGGTGCATGACAACAAGTTGGCTGCCGGTGGGATCTTCCGTGGATGAGAAGGTGGACCGGAAGGTGGTCCAGGGCAAGTTGAGGAGAGGACCGGAAGAGAGAGGCTAGTCCCTCGTGTTGTTACCACAGAGTTTCCGTATTGCCGGGCAAGACATCTAGTCAGCCGGTAACAGACCCTCTCTAATCTATGCTAATTCCCTTTGACCCCTTGGCAGCCTTTTTCCCCGACCCCGGTGACCCGTGAACGATGTTAAGTGCGGGGTGCGAATTAAGCAAATTTTCGCAAAACTTTATTACGCCTCTCGGGCGTCCCGCAGTCGCGGACTAGAGGGAGACTGTCTCAACCTCTCGCGAAAATATTGGATTTCAACACCCGAAACGAGTCTGATCCACCCTCGTACAGTCTCTGAGAAAAATGTGCCGAGTCGGAAATTTCGCAATTAATTTTTTTTTAACTCCACGATTACGTTTAATTTGGATCGTTAAGGGAGGCTCGTTGTTTCCATACGTCATCATTTTTCCAGCGACGCTACCCGCTGTAAATCCCATGCGCGATAATTAATGCGTTTAAAGCCTTACGGCGCGTTTACACGTGGACTGGGCAATGCTCAATGCTGGTCCGACGTTACTTTCAACGTATATATAATATTATGCATGTGAATCACGTTTCTAATAGACGATTGCGACTTTTTGAATTTAGCATGGAAAACGAGAAATAAGGTTACGGCCCATTTCAAAGTGTAGACTGCTTTGACTTAAAGGCTGAGTACACAGCGAGCGCCGAGTGCACCGATGCTTACGAAATTTCCTAAATGAAGTACTTGTCCTTTTTTCCTGTGCCTTTTACTAGTACGGAAAATCGAAAAATTCAAACTTTCAGTCTTGCCTTTGCAGGATATATTTTATGGGACAGGGTGCAGGGTAGATTGAGAGTGATTTAAATAATTTTGTATAAAAATAACAAGGTTATTTTTTTTTAAGTCTATAAGAGTGTGACAATATTTTCAAACTGACGTCATCACTGCAAATTCACTCTGATCTGATTAACTATTTTTGCCATTAATTAATCATATTTTGCAAATTGACAGTTAAAGTGAAAAGTAAGCTCGTACTAACGTTCAAATTTATTTTGAAAAAATTGCTGCTCAATTTTATCTTACGTCCAGCAATAAATATGTCATTTTACGGAAATACGCGATTCTTAGTCTCGTGGGAATATAATGCGAGCTTTCGATTTTTATACTCCCTTCGACATAACTCCTCAACGCTCAACCATACGAGTCAAATACACAAGCAAATCACTCGTTCCCATTGTAGCCCGAATCGACTTAAAAAAAAAAAATTTCTCATTAATTTTCGAAAGTGTCTCGTTACCTTTTTCACTTTTCAGTGTATGCTAGATTCAAGTGTTTTTCTGTTTTTTTTTCTTTACTTTTTTTTTTTCAAAAACTCAAGTGCCACTTCCGTCATTGTTGCTAGCAGTGCTACTTATTTGCCGTCCTGTAACGCAGCGGTCTCAGTTGCTGAGAGAATTTCGCAATTGCCAGCACCGTTTCGAGTAAAAAGACCTAAATAAACGCAAAGGCGGTTAGCGAGAACAAAGTGGGATCGAAGTGCTCGCGAGAAAGTGCTCGAATTAGCGGCGAACGTCAGTGGTGGTTTTCAGGTTTTAATTAACGGGATCGCTAGTGGGACGAAAAGGATGCCGAAGTAACAGTCAAGCAGCATCCCAAGAGGACCGTGACTTAACGGTACTTTCGACCCCCATGCAATTTCCCACATAAATCACCTTAATAATGGCTCGTTATGGCAACGCCATGTATATAAATCGCCGCGGGTGCCCCGCGCTTTACCTGCAGAAATATACGTGGCGCCCCTTTAGCGTACGTCACTGTCGCCAGAACTTGGCTCTCGACCCTTAACGTTACCCCGGAGCTTTAGACGTTTCTATAGCGCGACGAAAGCGCTCAGTGCCAATCCCGTTTCCTAACGACGATACAAAGAAAAATTCGATTCTGTCGTTTTCATGAAAGTCCTAAATTGATTTTCTCGCATTTTTACCTGACAAATTGATATATAAATGCCATACCAGAATACACGTACAACAATGAATACGCATACATCCATTATGGTGAAATCATAGATATTGGATAAAAGAGAGAAAAAAATTCACTCACCTGTGTGAAAAAGTAGTAGTAAACCTTCATGCCGCGTTCAGCGAAGAGCTGTGCGAAGTGGATCGATGGACAAATGAAGAAATAGTCGCCCACGACGTCCGCGACCATTTTTTGATACTGACTTCCGTCGTTCAAGCGTTCCCAGTCCGTGTACTGGAATAAAGGAAATTATTTGTTCGTTAAACATTCGGATTCTGAGCAATAAAAATATTTAATGCTACACAATCTAAAAGTAGTAAAATAATTTTTTTCATGTTCACGCGAAGCTTCTTTAACACGAGAATGATCGGGATTTTGTTCTGCATTTGAAAAGCACTGAGTTACTGTGTCCTTGAGAAACCCGACGCGCCAGATGGTTCGGATTAACGGCGAGTCGAGCTCGGTGGCAGCGCCGAGGATTACTGAAGGACGAATCGAATAGACGTCCGTCAAGTACCAAAGGACTGTTGGGCTTCTGAGAAGTGCACGTGCATAAAATAAACACGTGGATCAGGAATGACGGTTGAGTAAAAAGTACCATTTCGTAGAATCGTTACGATCGAATACCCTTATGATAAAAAAGTCAAGGCTGCTTCGTCGGTAAAGAAGAATTCTTTGCAAAATATAAATATCAAAGGAACAAGTTTTCGTTTCCAGAGACAAAGTACAGCTAAAGTCGCGCCATAAAAACTTGACTCACGAACCATGAACTTCTTTGAGACACTATCAGTACAAGTCGTTTTCAGCCTGAGATTGAATAAAAAAAAAAAAAAAACTTTCAGTAGCTCGCTTGGTTTTTTCTTTTCTTTTTTTATTTTTCTTTCCTTTCCGCTCCCCGGCGTCGAAGTGTTATAGGCTTATATTTGTGCCCCGTCAAGCAAAACGCTATGTAATACCTTGCCTTTATCAGAAACCTCTTATCGTGAATGATGTAGAGTCTCAGATTGACGATAGGCACAAAATAAGTTACGGTGGAAGTTTTGCATTAAAAAATTGCAAGACGATTCGTAAAGTAAATAAAATTTATTTTTTTTTATCCGAATATACAAGCGATCAATCTATAATTTTTTTATTAGCGAATACAAAAAAAAAAGTAGAAGCAAAGCTGTATACAATTTATACGATGATTTTGAACAATGGTTTTGACATACGGGTGGCGTGGAAAGTGAAATCGTGGTAATAAAATGAAAGTAAAAGCGCGTGAGCTTAATTAAACTCTCTTCCTCGATCCAGTCCAGTTGATCGTAAAAGCTTCGCGCATGAATTTATCGTGTAATCCGTTCAATAAAGTCATCTATCGTAAAGCGTCCTGGATATTTACCTCCCGCCGAAAGACTGGCGACTCATTGAGTTTTATGCCTGACATAAAAACTATACGAGTGAACAGACGTTCAAAGTCGCCTAAGGGACACCGAACGAACTTCCTGCAATTAAGTATACATAGTTCCAAAGATTTTTGAAAAAAATCACAACTTGAAGAAATAAATTTGGATTACCACGAAAAATCCAACATAGCTTGTGAAAAGTGACATCAAATTTTTTTTCACAAATTTTATGTCTGCCATATATGCAAAAATTCATTATGAACGCAAACTTCATCGAAGCGAAGAAACTTCGTGGGAAATACGATCTTCTTTCGGATAGCAAAGTGATACGAGCCAGAATCTCGTTGGAAGTTTCTAAACTAGCCTTCCGCTAGTATAAACCAATTGCTGGAAACGTAGCTGTACCATACAGTCCACAAAGTCAAGTATAGGTATACACGCACAATAAAAAAGATAATGGCAGAAATATAAAAATTTTCAAAATACAAAATAATTGATTCTGTAAAATAGCAAAGTGAGTCAATCATTATAGTAAATTTAGTCAAGTAAGATAGGACTAGTCGTACGTAATGATCGACCGTAGATTATGCAATATAATTATCCAAATTTACACAGCACAAGTAATCACGTGTTGTTCGGTCAATTAATCCAGTCAGATGTACGTGTATCGGACGCAAACAAATCAAAAATCAATTATACACCGAGTCAATGATCGGTTCCTTGTATGATCGAGGATATTGTAAAATGACAATCTACCGAATCAAGTGTAATCAGGCTGCTGCCTATAGAGCCTGTTTTAACTGAGTTTATCCCAAAAAAGAGAACTGATGACGGTTATCGGTATATTCCGCGAAAAGTACATGGATCCTGATCAGCCCATAATTTTCTTCTCTGTAACCTTTAAAAAGTACTTAAAGGGACCACGTGTAAAATAAAAAATATCTAACCAATAAAAAAATGATAGGAGAAAACAAGCACACAATATATACAGTAATAAATATACCATTTACCAAACTGGAAAACTTAAGTCTAGGCGATACACGTGTGAATATCGATATAAAGATGGTTCGATATATATTGCATATAGAAACTTTCTAAAACAGTTTTATGGTAATCTGTCTCAAGAATAGAGACTCCCCATGAGAACAGTTCGGTATCAAGAATTTTTTTTTTCCCTAAAGGACTTAAGGAATCCCTCCTGAGAATCATGATCGGTCCATGTTGAGACCCTAAGACCATAGGTAGCAGCAAAGTAATCTGGGCTTGAATAAAAAAACCTCACCAATAATTCAAATTTTCGCGCCCCTCAAATTCGACCGTAAAATCGAATAGACACCGTATAAGAACAATATCCGTGCTTATGACCAGATACCAAATTAAAAAGCACCTACAGATCTTTTCAAAGGGCACAGTCAACGACCTCTCAACTTCAACCTACATTAACACTCGTTAGTATGGCTCGTAAAGCGGAAAAAAGGAAATTGAACATTTTGACATATTTAAAAAAAAAATTCAAACTTTTCAACAGGAAATCCCAGCGAGTATATTCATATGTACTAGCACATACCTAGAGTATATTCCTACTATTGGAAATGTCCTACTCAAATTTCGTTTGAAATTTTTATGAATTCAAACGACCTTATAAAAATCTCGGGAATTCGAGGAATCCCATGAATTCACGTGCATTCGAATGAGAGCGGTAGCTTCTTTTTCGAAATACACGAATAATGTAACTTTTGAGGTTATACTAAAAATACATAATGCCTACGTACGTTACTCGGTTATGGAACTCCAATAGCAAGACAAAAGTAAACACAGGGTGTAACATGATCTACTATAAAATTTCCATTTTGTGGAGTGAATTTCGTGGTATTCTAAAATGGCTTCTCTACGCGCATTTCGCACACGGTTATATCCTGTCAGTGTAGTTAAAATGGTGGGGCTGATGGGTACGTCATCCTCGGGAGCAAACGGGAAAGTCGGTAAGGTAGACACTGACGTTTTAACCGAGTCTACCCCGTTTCACTGTAACATTGCGATCCCTCGGCACGTTGGATCCCGCGGCATTCCGTTTTAACATTTTCCCAATTTCCGCTCTGGCAATGGCAACACTGGGATGCACTTCGCTTCCGGATAGACTAGCAAGAATATTCTCATGGACCATGACAGATGCATGCTGAGAACTTGTGATATGTGGATATGAGATAAATGCATTGTTACGATAGTTCGGATAGGCAGACATATAAAAGGGTGAGGGGTGCGTTCTGATATAATGTATTTTACGAAATTTCGAGTTTTTGTAAAAGTTGGGATACTTTGAGAAAAAAAAATTTTTTTCCTCGATAAAAATGACGTCTAATTGGATAACGGTGGTATTGGAAAGGTTGGTTGATAATTGAAAGACATTTGAGATTAAATTGAAATACCTCGTAATTTGATAGTTTCGAGAAACCTGGTATGGGGATCCGATATGTTTTCAATTTTCAACTAATTTCATATGATGGATAAATCCTGTCTGTCTTCACGGACTTGAGACGTTGAAATAATATTTTTTTTTATTTCGCATCTAAGACGTAATTTGGGAAAATTCGTAATAAAGGGATTTTTAAACTTTTATTTATATCCTTGGGATACTTTTGCAACTTTAACCAAAAATTTAAAGCGTTCGCGGATAAGATTTAAATAATTGTCCAATGAAAATCTACGTGTAAACTTGATTTCCACGATTTTACGTGTAAATTAGGTTATCTGGCGTATCTCGTGCGCGCGGAACTTTCCAGCTGGAGGGGAAAAATCTAGTGCTTGAAAATTATCAGGAGTTAGACACCGTTTCTTGTAAATTTCAAACTGTACGTGTTTCGCGGGAAACGGAATCGGGAGGTTATTAAAATTGATAAATGGCAGTGAACCTTTATTAGTGCTGTAATCGTGAAAATCATATTGCTCTAATTTAATTTAATTAACCATACTTCAACCGATATCAAAATTATCAAAAAATAGAATTTATAAGTGAATTATAAAAATATTTGTTATTATTTAAAATTCTCAATGCTTCCTTGTGTATTTTCTAATTTTTTTTATTATTGTAAACACACAGACATTGTCGAACTACAGAAATCAAATTTAAACGTGGCCGCAGGGAATCGTAAATTTACTGCTTGATACAATTTCGATAGAATAACAAAATGGATAAATAAATGAAAAATAAGAAACAACCAAAGTAGAATAAATGGCGTGTTCAAGAACCTCAAGAATTTCCAGTTTTACACGAAATTCGAATGAAACTATCCTTTAAAATTTTTTAAAAATATTTTCAGTTAAAAAAGTGCTATTCCCCTTTTTCATATAAAAATTCAGCCATATGTAAATTGTACAGTGTACGAATGGCTTCGTTATCTCGAAAACAATTACCCAAGTGTAACGTTGTTCACTGACGATAATTGGTTGTGCGACGAGGGAAATTTAAATAAAAAAATATTTGCTGGTAAATTGTTTAAAAAAAAAGTTGATTGCATAGTGCATCATCTTACCTATATAAGATAGTGCACCGAATGCAATTTCAACTAAATTCAAGTTATAATTCAAATGAATCGTTAAGCAGCCAATTCAAACTACTCGCATAACTTGACTTACCGACGGAGTCTGAGCGCTTTGGTATCTCCTCAATGCGCCATTGTATTATTCAAAGTGGCACGAAACTGGGAAATTAATCGATTTACCACGAAGCATAATGCCTATACCCGAACAATTATTGGAATTCCACTAATTTTTATATAAACAATGACGACTACCGAGTCAAAACAGTCAGAGAAAGAGAGACAAAAGTTTAGCTCGGTAACACTGGATAAATCAGTCCCGTCGGATTATCCAGGGATTAGAGTGAACGATTCATCACTGCCAACCGCGTAGCCACAATAAAACCAACAACCGCCCGTCACCATTTCACCTCCTTCGACCTGCAAGTTTTCCCAGTTGCCTATACCTGCCTACCCATATAGTGCAGTCAAATATTCCCTTCAGCCAATTGCCCGAAGGAGAAAAGACACGAAATCTATATTTATACGCAATCTGTTACACTCCACCGTAACTCCTCGTAAACTATACATCCACGGTTGCGTCATACCGCAATCAGCCAGAAAAATCATCTTTCGCGTAGCACCACGAAGAACGATCAATCTTATTATTTTTAAAATTAAATTTAATATTTTCAAAATAAAACGTATTTTCGTTGGATTATCCAGAGTAGCTTGAATTTTATACTCCATCTATACCTCGGCAGGATCTTCGATAATTAAATTAATATGAAGTCAGTTAACTTCTTAGCAATGGCTAAGAGACGGGATTACAATTTTAGAATATGACATTTAATTAATCAGAATTTATCAGGCTGTCTTCAATTTTAATCACGTATCTTAAGTGACGTTCTTGACAGATATAAACTGTCATTTCTTGTGAATTATGTACAATAGGCTTCCGTCGCATTGTGACCTTCATAGCCATTTCGTAGAAAGCTTCAATATGGCTGCCAAGTCAAACTGAGAAACGTCTGACCTCAAATGTGAAATGACGCTGAAGGGACGGTTGGTCGCCTATTTACCGAACAAATTTCAACGCTTTTACTGGTTTCACGGGCTGGTCACCCTGGACCCAGAAGGACATTGAAAATATTTCATCGATTTTCATTGTCCACGTCGCGTAACCATAACGACACATCGCGGCACTGCACATTCCACGTGATATTAGATTCTGTTATGGATTCATGTAGCGTCGCATAGTGACACGATGCACTGGAGGCTCAGGCTATTTTGGCAAGAGAGTAAAACGCGCTAACGAAGTTTCCAAAGATGATCATCAATCTTATTAATGAATTTAATGAGAATTTGATTACAATAACGTGAACAATTTTACGGCTACACGGTCACGTGATCAATTTTAACTATGACGTACGAACAAGGGGTAAGTAATGACAGGTAACTTGCTGAATTTATATCGAAATAAATTTAAAGAAAAATTTTCAAAATTACTCACCAAAGCGAACACTTATCCTGTCTGACGAATATCGCATCTTCAGCCGTTATAAGTGTTATCAAAATTCATGGTCTTGCCTGCAGCAAGATCACGTAGAGACACGTTTCGAGCAAACATGGATGGCGGTTATTTATCTATTATGAGCAGGGACCGTATAAAATTTCCAAGAAATTATGTAATACGATGGGGTAACATCAAGGGTAGGAGTGGCCAACCAGGGCGTGTCACCGTATTGCCTCGTGAAAGTTACTGAAATTACGTTCTTGCATTACTAAATACTTAATTTGCGTAATTTTCGCAAAATCAACGATCCTAACATTCGAACTGTCTCAAATATTTCAGTAAAACTGCCGAGTACTGTATTTAATCATTGAAGAATGCTATTTTGTAAATTCACTTCGAATTCCCTCTGGAGCGCACAACGTCAAACATTTTATACCTGATGCCCGTGGGAGGTCTGTCTGTGGCTTCGTTCTTGGTTAAAAGTCCGCGGCGGTAATTGCCAAAGAAATTAGGTGTAATTTTTCAAGAGACAAAGCCTTTTGTTTTACTTTGTGCACTAGATAGAAATAAAAAAGAAAAAAAAAGAAGAAGGTACACACATTCCTGCCGTCCTAGTGACGCCTAGAGGGCACAACACGACGTGACCGAGTACTCACTCATTTATCATTTGCCGCTTCGCTTCTGCTTTTTAATTACACGAATATCTCCGAGGCGTTATATTACGCGTACGAATACACACAACTGCACCCGTGAATACGACTTTCATCTTATATTATTCCATCATCAAGATAGCCACGTTACCCGCGCGAACTGCCATAGACAAACTAAACGAACTTCTGTTATAAGACTGTCAACCGCATTTTCCACGCGGTCGAGAGGGACGAAAGTGGCGCTCTAGCGGCGGAAACGGAACTATTTCGTCGGTATGTATGTACAAGCGAAACGCTCTCGTAATTACTGAAACAATTGTTCGATTAAAATAAACAGCTAGAAATTATTGTAAATTAAATCATCTCGCGAAATTCTCTAGAAAATAACAAAGCTGAGAGCTCTTACATATATTTCAGTAATTTATGGTTGACTACGAACGCAGTCAGTGTTCCTAACTATCCATGCCGGTACGCATAACAATGGCTGAACAGAAGTTCTGTGTACACCATTAACTTCTATTTTTGATTAAGTATCAAGAGGAAAGCTCCGCAAGATGCTATCATCGTGGAAGTTTGTGAGTGACCTAAAAAAAGAAACGGTTTATAACACCGAATAAACTTACGCGAGAATAATTTACGTTCAAGCTGTCCGCGTCTTAAAGTTAATGGATCTTCGCGTGGATCTACCGTCCATGAGCAACCCCATCCAATTGCCAAAGGTTTTATTAAGCTGCAACGACCTTCTTCTCCTCAATCTACGCCGTCCTCAGTCATACTCCCTACCCATCTGACGTCTCGAGAGTCTCGGCCATCTACCGGCGGGAAAACGTACTTTTCAGGCGCCACGTAAACAAACTCTTCCACGATCGTCCATATTCCTGTTACGGCGAATCTGGCGACTGAACAGCGTCAGTGAGTTAGACCAAAAATTATATTTTTTTTTACCCAGCTCAGTCCACCGACGTCTAAAGTTCATGCAGTACGATCTTCCGTAATTTTTCTCACAACTTTGAAATATAAATGCTCGCCTACGAACGCCCAACGCTACAGTTGACGACCGCGTCAATTTCTTGTCGAACCAAGTGAAAGTATGGATAAAGTAATCCCAAGTGTATACGAAAGAGCTAACGAGAAAAAAAGGGTTAACTTTTATAGATCTCGAAGGGTACACCGTGACGCAGTAACTTTGAGGGATAATCAATAATTCAAAACTTCGCGATTTTCGTATTCGACGTACGCCTTCGAAAAGCACCCTCAATTAAAACTTCATGAATCTACGCGAGACCTCAGTCCCAATCCCGTGTTCATGAGTTACCCTTAAATTGCCACTTTATAAACCAAATACGATTTACGAACAGAGCGCGCTTACAAAAAGTCACCCATCCAATGAAAAAAAATGACACGCGACACAGACCAAGCGATATATCAAATTTTTACGATTAAAAAGATATTTTGGATGATCGATACGTTCATTAGAAATTTCAACCTTCGAGTGGTCGAGCATCGTTATAAACTGCGAGAACAACAAAGGACGAACTCGCAAGAACTCGCGTTATCTGAAGAGACTATAGGGATGGAATAGTAATATCAAGTAGCACGAACGCAACTTAGTTCAAGGGTACACCAATATTTTATGTGCTTCGGTTGGTATGATATACCTGAGCGAGGGGTTAGGGTGGAGATAGAGTGTAAGGTAGGTTGGATAGGTAGGACTGGGTAGGTAGAGGTTATAGGTAGAGGTATACATAGGTAACTATTGACGTTAGGCACATATATATATATATATATATATACACACACTCATGTTCGTAGACGTGAGATACGGGAGACTGAAGTAGGTAGAAAAGCTTTTCTCATAGGTAACTATTGACGTTAGGCACGGTATGATATACCTGAGCGAGGGGTTAGGGTGGAGATAGAGTGTAAGGTAGGTTGGATAGGTAGGACTGGGTAGGTAGAGGTTATAGGTAGAGGTATACATAGGTAACTATTGACGTTAGGCACATATATATATATATATATATATACACACACTCATGTTCGTAGACGTGAGATACGGGAGACTGAAGTAGGTAGAAAAGCTTTTCTGGTAGCAGACTTCTCCTATCCCGATCGTCTTCTCGACTGTAATATTTACGCGAAATGAAATTCGATACAAAGTTTCTATCAAGTTCCTGGACCACTCGTGAACTAAGAAAATACACAGGCCGAGAATGCGTGAAGATTTATTTCCAAGAATGATTGTTAAAGAAAGTGAGAAAATAGGGGTGGGTGAATAAAAAAAGAGAGAAAGAGACGAAAAAAAATCAGCGCCTTATAAAAAAAATACGACCGAGAGAGAGAGAGAGACAGAGAGAAAGAGAGAGAGAGAGAGCAGAAGATCGTTGATGATGAATTGGAGCTTTCGAAAGTTGTTCGAATTAAATTTCTTCTGCTTTGCGAGTTCGCAGCGGCGAACGAAGTTCAAGACTTTCTAACGCGTCGAGGATCATTTGTGATTACAAAGTTGGTTCGGTGGGTATTTTTCGAAATTACGATGAAATTATTAACGCTCGTGCAATTTCATCTTGGGAAGTTAACTTACCCCAAGCCTTGGGGTGCGAAAGGCGCGCAAGATTGTTGAATAAAATGAACTTCGTCAAATATCGCGATTGCGTTTCGTAAAATTATTATTATGACGACGATTAACGATAATCATTTTTTTTTCAAATTCAACTCTACGATATACGCATTAAATAATTACTTGGAATGTAATGGCGTCGCGTTCCAGCTGCGACATATTCTTAAAGATGGTGTTGACGATGTTGAGGAACTTGTCGCGCTCGAGAACGCTCGCGTGATCCTTTTCGAAATAGTCGATGAAGTCGTACAGGATGAAATAAGTTCCTGAAACAAAGAAATTAGGCTTACATTATTTTTCAGCGATCGCAACCAAATAAACATTGCCAGATCCAAAACAGCCTCTTTTCCCAATACCCTTACCAGGTATAACTCATCCGGTACCAAGTACAAACCTAAATCCTATCCCCCCCCCCCTGTATATTAATTATTGAACAGGACTATTTTAGTTTACCATCTACCTAACCAAGGTAAGCTACAAGGCAGCCTCCTTCTGGGAGAGAACCTGTTAACAGGCCCTCCCGGTTTTCCGCGTCTATTTTCGTACGATTTTCACCCCTTTCGACGGCTAAAACTGCACCCGAAGGGGATGGCGCTTCGAAAAGACGGAAACGTATCTAAGGGGCGAGAGAGTGCTTTTCCACTGTGAGATGTTACTACCCGTGAGCCATCAGAAAAAAAAATTCTTTATTCATTCGACAAACCAAATAACGTGTCTCATTAAGCTCATAGCTTTGGATACTTTAACCATAGATCAAGTATCGATACCGCAAACGGACTATATATACTCCGTTTACCAACAACAATATTGACGACGCCGATAATCATGATGAAACCTTAATGTATCCGTCGAGTATTATTTTTCACGAGTGGTATCGATATCACGAAATAACGCGACTGTTTGAAGGTGAAGGTCAATAAAAAAAAAAAATTGATGATACGAAATACCCTATGCGTATCACCGTATTTCAATGCTAGTGAAAAAAAAAAAAAAATTTAAATTAAAAATTCAATTCAGGGTGGTACACGGTTTTGACAAGCATAGACCTTTTTTAGTTTTGGAAAAAATTTTTTTTCAACTGATCCGGGTCAATCTCGATCACCCTATAGATATCGTTCGGAACGAATATTCGGTGGTCGTACCTACTGCTTGGGTACCACGAGTACCTCGAGAACCGACTATATCCAGTAGCCACGTGGTCTAACCTGTTACGTCACACTGTTAATAATCTACATAACCTTTAACTTTTTTGTCCTCCGTCCTTTCCGACCAAGACGGAACCTTCGTTTCACGACGGTTAATCGTTCTGCTTCCACGGCCGTAAAATCTGCGGGTTCTTACCCTTAACGACGTCGTTCCACGCCCTTCTGCTTGGCTTGAATCGTTTCGTAGCTTCTCTGAAGTACTAACTGCAATTTGCCTTTGGAACCCGAAGGAGCCTCCTCGTATACGGGGAGGAATCCCTTGAGGAATATCGGATGAATTGGATTAGGGTTGAGAGATTAAGAAACATCGGTAGGTCCGGATCTTACTGATAAGTCCGTATGGTTTCTAGCAGTAAAAAATTAATTAACATATATAGACTCTGCGCTATGCAAAGAGAAGACTCTCTGCCTGATGTGAAAAAAAAAAAATCATTGCTATTTGCAAATAACACGAAAATCAAGAAGCACGCGGAGTCTATAGTTATGGGAGGGTTGCATTTTATCGAAGGGTGTAAACATTATAGGGTCGTCGTTCGAGTTGTGCTTTATCGAAACTTGGACGCGTCTTCATTTTCCCCGGCTTATTGTATCCAGCGCGAAGCCCTTACGACGCATAGGGAAGGACAGAGCATTTCTAGTAGACGGTCCTATGTGGGTTTATCTGATGTCCCCTTAGACGCCATTATGGTGCCGGTCGCTAAAGGACGTAAATACTTGGATATCGTTGTGTGCCAGGTATCACGCAAGCTTATGTAACGCTAGGTATATGATATTGAAAAATAATAATAATAAGCACAGAAACACTTTTTAATATAATTTTAATGGAATTCTCGGGAAAAAAAAAATTGGGTTCACCGTTTTCTGCATTGTTACCCACTTAACCCTTTAGCCGATTATTGCATTAAACGTCAAAGGCCCGGCGCGAACTACTGTGACTAGTAGAATAAAGAATTTACGCTTTTCCGAGGCACACTTATACGACGGAAGCAATGCCCGATGCAGAAGAACTCAATTACGGGTCGTGGTGGCCCCTCGAGGCTTCCTGAGGTCGACGAGAGGCTTAGGGCAGGCAGGTAGATCGGTCGGTAAGGTAGGATTGGTCGCTTGATTTTCCTGGAACTTCGAGAGACTCCGCGAGGTCGGGGAAGGCTGAGAAAGAGTGGGAGAGAATTACGAGGATGGAGGGAAAAAAGGACAGCTGCGCGTAAAATACCCAATCGGATCGAGAAGGAAGGAAATAGTGGGTATGGAGAGAGAGAGAGAGAGAGAGAGAGAGAGAGAGAGAGAGAGAGATGACTGGAACTCGTAGTGACACCCGTTAGAGCGAGACGAGTTCGAGGAGTGAGAGGAGATAGAGGAATGAGAGGGGGAGAGAGAGAGGGAGTGTGACATGGTTGATGGTGGAAGAGGGTGTCGTAGGCAACCAAGGGTTGGCAGGTACGACCTCACCTGCCCGCTCCAGGCTCTCACCCATCGCTATCGATTCGCCACCAGCAACTTGTTGGCTACATTCAGTCTTTACGTTATGGAGGATTTCCTCCCTGTGAGTTTAAATGCACTTTTTTTTTTCTTTTCCAGGACGAAGATAAAACTGTACAATGAGATCGTAAAGTAAATCGTGAAAAATCTTAGCCGTTCTGCGCACGGAGATAGGACGGAATTGAAACTGAATTCATTTTGAGACTGTAGAGTTTTACGAGTGAGTTATACATACTTTACTTTTCGGTTTCAACCATTTCCACCTTTATTCCATGTAAAAAGGTATGTAAACGGTTAGCCCGGACGCGAACCATGGTTCGGAAAAATGCTAATAGGGAATATTTAATTCGCAGGGGGAGATTTTCCTCGTGGAATCAGAGAGTCGAGTGGCATGCGAATTATTTTGCATAATTTTAAGGGTCGCTCGAATTTCGCGTGAGATAACAAGATAGATATCGCTAGCGAGGAGATGGTATCGCACGCGTGAGATTTTATCGGAATTAAAACTTTTGCCGGAAGTGTGAGAAAGGGGTTCCCCTATTCGAGAGAGGATAAAAAAATATGAAAAAAAAAAAAAATCAGACAAGATAATCACTTCAATAAATGACGACTACGAGGATCCAGTCTCTTATATAGGCCAATCGCGTCTCGAGGGTTCGAACCATCCAGGAGGGATGATTTTGTTTTACGCAGCACTGCGCGCGTGAGAGTAATCTTCAGAGGGATTGATCTTCGTAAGAGACACTGAAAAATCTTCACTGATATCGAACGAATGGAATCAGGGTTCATCGGATAAAAAATTTTCTTCTTCCTTCACATTTCTCTTCTTTCTCTTCTTTTAGTCTTTTATTGAGTACCAACTCTTAGTGGTCCCTCGCGGCACTAGATGGCGCCCCTTACTTCCGAAGAGTTCTATTACCATGGAGAGAGTCGAATAAAATTTTTCTTATATGGGACAGATCTCGACTTAAGATACCATTTTAACGTGTAATTTGGCAATTTTTCAAACGTCTATATACTTCATGTATATTTAATTTCGATAATTTTCAAAACTCTGCATGACCACGGAAACAGAAATTGGATAACCGGAAGTCACGGTTTGTATAGACTTTTCAAGTTTGAAAACCTTTCTCAAGCGGCCAAGGCTTACAAGTGGACGTTAGAGATAGTTTTCACTCACCGACGTAAAACTCTTATGAAATTTTTATAAGGTAAAGTAGCGAAGTAAGCGATTCGTTCGATCATTGGAGTTCCGTTTCACTCGATTACTTTTATAGATTGATTCTTCGCGAATGGTTGAAAAAAGAGAACTTAGAGTAGTCGTTTGATAGATTGAGAGTATAACATTATGACGTAAACGTGTAATTCGTAAAAATTGTCTGACGTCGAAGCAAATAGTATGATAGGATGAAGGAAAAGGAAAAGTCAATTTATTGAGAAAACAACATTACTTCGGAAATGGAGGGTTCCTCAAATCGAAATATCGTGACAATACGTTATATCCCGTGTGTCATACTTTCATAAAGCAGCAACCAGCTATAAAAATTCGTCCTTTATGCATGACTCGTGAAAATCGATATCAGAAAATCTGTCTTGAAGGGATTTGCCAGTCATGCATTATGGAAGAAATTCCAAATTTCGAATTCCCTCGATTCCCATTCTGTCGAGCATTGACATATCCGGTCTCATCGAGATCGAAAAAAAAAAAAAAAATCAGAGAATATCTCCGGGTCACTCCTTGGAAATCGAATCGCCCTGTATCCTCCAATACATAATCGAAATAACATTACATGAAGAAAAAAAAAAAAAAATTCCCTCCCCAGAGAAATTTAAACCGGATCTTCCTCTATTAAATATAAAATTTTCCTATACTCGTAAAAAAGAAAAAAACACCAACGAATTTCCCTTATTTTCAAATTAATAATAAAAACCGAAGTATCCCAGCAAGTGAAGATTACGTCTGATTCGTGGTCAAAAATTTATACGACAGTCACGTTTACGTAAAGCGGCGTCCGAAGGCTGCAGCTGGCTGATTCGACGAGGTCGGAACGAAATGTAAGAATGAAGAATAAAAGAAAAGAAAAAAAGTAAAAAGTGAAAACGAGGGAAGAAAACAATACAGGAGTAGCTTCAGCGTCCTCCGCGCCCCTCGGTCGTTTGCTGAAGCAACAGCCGGAAGGTGAGAAGAATCCAAGAAGCGTTTCTGCCCCACTTTTGTTTCAGGAGTCGTAAGCAGACCGGCCGTAGGAAGCCAGAGCGAGGAGCAGCGCACTCTGGTGGCGGATGATCGAAACAGCAACTAAGCAGAACGTTAAGGCCTGACCGTATAAAAAGGTAGCAGCTGCTCGTTTTCCTTATCTGACGATATCGGCAGTTTCCATCGGAATTTACTCATGGGCGACGTCTTTCTTGACTAATTGCATCAAGCAGGCGTTGACGTTACGAGGTCGATCGCGTTTCGAGATCTTTTTCCTTTTCACGCACAAATCTTAATCGCGCGGTACAGTCGATCGTGTATAAAAGAATTATTCGATTAAATAATAATTCTTACGATTTGTTTATTCGTACATGATTTTTCATAG